CCATGAAAGCCTACGACTTCACCTCTGGCTCTGCCCACCTCATGAGCTACAACCTGGCACCCAAGTACCAAGCCAATTAAATCTAGCCTCTATTCCTGGAGGCCATAAAATTGTGTCTTATCCAAGAGCATCTGTCAGGCACACAGTGCATGCACATTATGCAAAGAAGACAGAGTGACTCATCCAATTCTAAAATAATGGGGAGGGGGAGGATTTCATTCACTCATGTGCTGCAGACTGGGACATCTTTAAGGTGTATTACATAGTCTTAAGACTACAAGCCCCATGGTGCTTTGAACTGGCATGTGACAATTTATCTGTGAAAATATTGTGAGTCTTCATTGGAAATAAGCATATCTATAAGATGATTTGACTTGTAATTGCATCTTTGTCAAGTCATAAAATCAGACACAGATAATACAATCTCAGGTTTTTATTTCCTTTTGATGTATTTTTAAACAAGTAATCATTCTAAATCTGAAAAATTTAGATGGCCTTGGGCTATATGATCCAGGGGTAAGAAAACAATAAAAATTATGAAGAATTCATGCAATGATTTTGAATAGAGTGCTTCAGTAAGAAAATAAATACACGATTGAAGGTTCTTTTACTTCAGTAATAGTAATAGTCCTCTTTTTTTGAAATTACAAGGTCCTTTAGCTCCATTAGTAGAAAAATCTCTGAAACACAGATGGCACAGCTCTGTTAAATACTTTATTGTAATTTAGTAGATCTTCCTCTGGGTTCTGAGTTCAGTATGAATGAGCTGTTAAAAACTAATGGTGCAATGTAACTACAGAAAAATACAAGATTTTTTTTTTAAAAAAAATCAAGAATGTGAATATTTCAGTGCTTATAAATGAAATATTAACTTCAAAAACAGACAGTGCCAACATATCAATAAAATATTGTTATCTGGGAAATGACATGTTCACAATCTAATTGGAAAAAATGAATTTACTGGCAAGGTTAAAATTGCTGAAGAAGTGCTTGAGTTTGACTAATTTGGTAAATTTACCATTCCTTTTTGTAAAAAAAAATGGGGGGGGGTTATTGTATAGCTACATATTTTCTATGTTCTAGGAACAAAAACCTGTGGAGCCAATTATTTGCACATTTCCATTGCCAAGCAGGGATCCAACCATGATCTCCAGATTCATAGTTTAGTGCTCAAACCACTAGACCATACTAGCTCTCTGCTATCTTTAAACTGAAATGCAAAGTTCAGACTGTGTGCCACATATAGTCCCAAGACCTTTCTTGTGGCCCACAGTGTCCCCAGGGTTCATTTCCCCAAAAACTTTCTCCCACCCCAACAAATCTTTCTTTGCTGCCAAACAACCTTTAGGTGCAATGGGACAATCTTGCCAAATATTTGATTTAGGCCTTTCAAAAAAA